ATGCAGAATTGCATTGCGCAAATCTGCTGCACAAGACCTTTTTTAAAGTGTTGAAGAGCAAAGATGTCAGCTTGAGGACTAAGGTGTGCCTGACCCAAGCCATGGTATTTTCAATAATCTTATATGCATATGAAAGCTGGACAATGAATAAGGAAGACCGTAGAAGAATTTATGCATTTGAGTTATGTTGTTGGAGGAGAATATTGAAAGTGCCATGGGCTGTCAAAAGAACCAATAGATCCATTTTGGTAGAAATGTAGCTAGAGTGCTCCTTTGGAGGCCAAGATGGCCAAACTTTGTCTCTCATACTTCGGACATCTTGTTAGGAGGGACCAGTAACTGGAGAAGGATATCATGTTTGGTAAAGTGGAGGGTCAGAGAAAAAGAGGAAGACCCCCAATGAGATGGATTGGCCAAGTTGCAGCATAAATGGACTCAAGTGTGGCAACAGTAGTGAGGTTGGCCCAGGATCAGGCAGTATTTCGTCCTGCTGTGCATAAGGTTGCTACGAGTTGGTACTGACTCGATGGCACATAATAACAAGTATGCAGATATTTTAAAGGGACTCAGTAATGAATGCTTGAATGAGTGTGTGATTAGAGTTTTCAGAGCACACACTTGTTCCGCAGACAGAGGAATACTGACTGGAAGCTTTTTACATAAGATCCTCCACGTTTGTACTCTATCCTCCTCATGTCAATGACTACCAATACAGATATTTCAAATGAATAGTAAAGAGTGTTCCTTTTGTCTAGTATTCTTGACTGGCACTGTAGGATAAATAGTGGACTGTTAAACTCCCAGCCTCTTCGCAGAAACCCTAGACAAGGTTGCTATGAGTCAGAACTGACTTGACAACAATTTAATCTATGTTGTTGTTGTTGTTAAGTGCCATCTAGTCAGTTCCGACCCATAGCAACCCTGTATAGGGTTTCCGAGGAGCAGCTGGTGAGCTTTAAGTACAGTTGACATTAATGTGAATTGAAGGTTTATTTGATTTTTATAAAATTTATTTTTTAATTGTCTCTTTAATCTAGTACAACTGAAGCTCCTATTTTATGAGTGCACTAAATTTAGAAACTTAAAACATATTGAGACTGTTTTTCTACATCTTATCCTGAAATGCAGGCTAAACTTGGACTTGCCCTGTTATATTCATGGACTCTCATTTAATTGGTCCTTACTGAATCTGTATTGAATATGTCTATTGCAGTTTGCTTTTAGTTTTAGGTTTAGGGGTTCGAGGGGAAAATGGACCTCTCGTTCTAGACTGAATTAATATTGTTACTCACATCCTATATCACCAAGCTGAGATGACCTTTTTCTTCTTCTTTTCATTGAAATTGCTCTTGAACAGCCCCATAGCCCACTTAAGGTGAGGTGTTACATAGAGTCTGGAGAAGTAATACATACAAGTGGCTACATGGTGTGATCATCCTGATATAGTGCTGGGATGATGAGAGCGAATCATAAATATTTGTTAAATTACATTAAAGCAAGGATCAGGCCAAGTTTAAAAAGAAAATTGACCCAGAAAAGAATCAAGGTACTTGTTCGTACACATCTCACATGTACAATTCTTTCGATAAATGTTTGTTGAAGGAGCTCGGTATTCTGTGTATTCAAGAGTAGAGATTTTTTTTGACGTTTTATTTTTTTCTGAATTATAACCACTTAGAGCAGCTTAACATCACAGGTTAGAGGACAAAACCACAGACCATGAGGCAGTTTGTATTCAGTTAGTATTCTCAGTGACCTGACCTTTTAATAAAATTGATTTAGTGACATTTGTAGACTTTTACAAGAGTTCTGTTATAACTCAATCTGTGGCATTAATTGGCATTTATATAGTGAGTGAGAAAGTCCATAGACTAAAATCTATAATTGTCTAATCTTATAAACTATATAATTAAAAGAAAAGTCAGATACTAAAATGTCTCTTAGCTTAGCCAAGTAGAACATTATATATGTGTATGTGTGGTGCTGTAGGATGAACACTAGACTGCTAACCACATGGTCAGCGGTTCAAACCCACCAGTCACTCCTGGAAAACCTTATACAGGGTTGCTGTGGGTGGGAACCAACTCAACAGCACTTAACAACTACAACAACAGTATATCAGGGCTTCAACCTATTCATTGATAGCCGAGAAGTAAAACTGGAACAGACCAGAATTTGTAAAACTTGGGTATACCTGACTGATAACCAGAACAGGAATTATTGTGCGTGGATGCCTTTGTATAAACTTATTTTCCCTCTTAAACAGCAGTAGCAACTGTTGCATTGCATAGCAACCAAATCACTCATCTGGCAGATTTGGAAAGTCGCTGCCCATCTCAAAGACTGTGCCAACCTCAATGCTTTGAAGGTGTGTCACTATCCACAGCCCTGGGGTGGCACAGCCTCCTATTAACTGCAAGGCTGGTGATTCAAACCCACTAGACACTCCTTGGAAACCCAATACAGGATCACTGTGAGTTGGAACCGACTCCACGACATTTAACAACAACAACATCAACAGTCCTGACAATCATCCAGTCTTTCACATTTGGGGTCTGATTCTGAGTCTCCCATTCTGGGGTTTCAAGCTGTACTTTTTCTCATTCCACTGATCATTCTAGTGGTGTGTTTGAATTTTGCTTTGTCAGCCATGACTGACGGGACCCAGCAGGACAAATTAGAAGCCCTTGTGTGTGTATATATATGTGTATATACATATTCATATTTATATTTATACACACACATGGAGTCCTGGTGTGGTGCTGTGGATTAAAGCGCCAGACTGCAAAGCCGTTTGAACTGCAAGGTCAGCAGTTCAAGCTCAACAGCCGCTCCTTAGAAACCCTATACAGGGTCGTTATGGGTCAGAATCGACTCAACGGCACTTGACATACACACACACACACATACACCCTGAGCGACATAAGCGTTTAAGCGTTTGACTAATAACCAAAAGGTTGGCAGTTCCAGCCTTAGAAGAAATGCCTGGCAGTCAACTTCTGTGAGCTTATCGCCTAGAAAACCCTGAGGAAGAGTTCTGCTCTGTAACACTTGTGGTTGCCGTGAGTTGTGATTGATTCAGCAGCAACTCACTTTGTTTTGGAGTGTGTATGTGTGGTATAGGATTACATATACCATCTATGAGGAAACTTGAAAAAAATTCCTGGAACAATGGAATCGAAAGATAATGGGATTTTCTATGATCTATTTGAAGCCCCCTCTTGTATGTGTAAGGAGCTCTGGTAGGATAGTGGTTACAAATCGGGCTGCGAACTGCAAGCTCAGCAGTTTGAAATTACCAGCTGTTCCGCGGTAGAAAGGTGAGGCTTTCTGCTCTTGTCAAGATTTACAGCCTCGGAAACCCTATACAGGGTGGCTATGAGTAGGTTCCAACTCCACGGCACATAACCACCACCACCAACATATGTGAAATGTGTCAGCAAAACTTTAGAGTAAAAGGAACACATGACACTTTAGCTTTAGTTTACGTCACTGTTGTGAGTATCCAGTATTATTAACATTCAGCTGATGTTTATAGCTTTGGAACTTAAATGTGCTTTCAGTAAAGTAATTCAAGCCAAACAAAATAAATATGATTTGTCTTAAATATAGTAAGTCCAGTGCATTATAGAAAACATAAGTATACTCTAAAGAGATCCCGTTTTTGTGAAGGAATATATTTTCCTAAAGTAGGTTTTTCCCTTTTTCTTTTAGCTTGTAAAAATGTGAATTTTTTTTTTTTTAGTGGTTTTTAATATCTGTTCTAAAAATGCTTTTGCGACTTCTGAAGCAACAAATAAATAGGCTAGCTTAAGAAATATTCAGCTTTTAGTTAAGAAGGTTTAATAATGTTATATATTAAAGTACTTTGTCCTGCGCTTATTAAAAGGTAGGTTGATATCCTCACTCTCATCCCTTAAGGACTTCCTTTTCCAGCAGAGAACAGTGCCAACACTTCAGTATAGAATTCTATATTTTCCATGACTTTACCCTAATCTGATTTTATACTTCCTGTTATGTTTCTTTCTCTCTGTAACCCAACACTGTCATCCCACTGTCCTTTCCTCCCTATCAAACACCTTGGGTGTACATATCATGAGGGGGACTCCCCCTCATCTGTTCATATGTCATTCAACAAGTACTTACTGAGTTGCTTCCTCTGGTCTGGTATTGTGCTGAGCACCCAGTGTTAAACAATACTCAAGATTATGTCATTGTCCTTGAGGAGTCTATAGACTACTCAGAGAGAGAAAGGGGGTTGTAGTAGAGAGCAATCGAGTCAATGTATAGATGTCAACCCTGTGCTGACGGAGCACCTTTGTACTTAGGAAAGTTACTATGTGTAAGACACATTTTGGAACTGAAAGAAAAGCAGTGTAGCAGAGTGAAGTCAGGAGTAGAAGGTGGGGCTTCATAGGTACTTGTAAGGGTCAGGATTTCACTTAGGTGCCATGGAGAGTTTACTAGTGATGTGGGAGACAGAAAGGAGTCAAGAAGACTAGCTCGGAGGCTAAGGATTCTAACTAAAAGGAGAAAGAAAATAGCAAGTAAGCCGTTGAATTAGCAGTATAGGGTGTCTGAATGAATGATGAAAAGGAAGAAATCAGAAAGTGACAGTCACTTCAAGACTAACTCAAATACTATCTCCACAGTAGCTTAAGGAGCTCTGGTACCGTAGTGGTTAACTAATCCGGCTGCTAACCTCAAGGTTGGCAGTTCAAAACTACCAGCTGTTACGCAGGAGAAAGATGAGGCTTTCTGCACCCGTAAAGATTTACAGCTTCGGAAACCCGGTGCAGGGTTGCTGTGAATTTGAACCAATGCCACGGTACTTAACAACAACAACATCCCTGTTTTAGCTTTCTACCCATAATACTTTGCCTGTCTGCAGTAGTTATTACTTTCTTCTTTCCTGCAAGTTCCGCAAGAGCAATGCAGCGCTTACTTACTTAATTTACTTCTTGTGTTTTGTCCTCTCTCTCTTTTCTTCCTCTACACAGACTGCTCAAGGAGGTGGTCATCGAACACTTCTCTACGGACATGCCATATTGCTGCGCCATTCCTATAGTGGCATGGTGAGTAGACCCGCAGATGCACTGTTTCAGACACCTGTTCAGGAAATGCTGGCAGTAGCATTAATTTCAGTGATGGCATTAATAAGCTTGTGTGTATGTATTCTTTCATTTTTTTGTGCATGTTTCATTTTCTCCATAAGATGAGGGTGCCCTTTAATTACCTTTTGTTGTTGGGTTAAGTGCCATCGAGGCAGTTCCGACTCATAATGACCCTCTCTATAGGGTTTCCAAGGAGCTGCTGGTGAGCTTGAACCACAAACCTTGGGGTTCAAACTGTCCTTACAGTCAAGCTATTAACCCGTAGCATCATACCTTTTTCTTCTACCATTCTGTGATTCCTGTGTTAAATATCTTACTTGTTTTGTGTGACTGGTTTTAGAGCAGAGATATATGAGAGCTTAATTCTTAAGAAAATTTTGTTATAGCCAGTCCATCTATGAGTAAGAATATCTACAGTGTCCTTGTTATTATTTGTTAAGTGCCAACAGGTTGGTTCTGACTCATAATGACCCTGTATAGGGTTTCTGAGGAGCAGCCCGTGAGTTTGAACCACTGACCTTGCAGTCTAGTGCTTCTCCTACAATTCCCCTACTGAAAGATAAAATGTAAAGTCTATCCTGTCATTTCTAACAACTAACTTTTTTTTTTTAATTAAGTAGTTGTCTTTTTTCCTTTTTAGAATCACTTCCTTCTTTTGCCTAATTATCTACCAGGCTCTGAACAAGCACACTTTTCTTGTCATCTATTTTCCACATACTTACACAAGTTTTATTCAATTATTTTAAATACTTTCTAAATTATCAAAAATACAATGATTGGAGTCCAGGTTTGGCGCTGTGTACTAATGCGTCAGACTGCAAAGTTGTTTGAACTACAAGGTCGGTGGTTCAGGCTCATCAGCTGCTCCTTGGAAACCCTATACAGGGTCGCTATTGGTCAGAATCAACTTAACAACAACAACAACATAGATGCTTATCCAATAGGATTTAGAAATAAGAAGAATCTTTATTATCTTATTGATGAGATAAAAACTTTTTAGAACTTTAAAAAATTTTAAATGCTTACTCTGTTTTTAATATATGTTATATAATTGAAATCTTTTTGTAAGACAAAAATTGCATTCTTATATTTTTACATATTATCATAGCATGAGCATTTTTCTATAATATGTAAATTCTCCATCAATACAATTTTTGTAGCTACATGATATTCAAATGTCTTGAGGTCTAATATAATTCACCATTCTTTCCTTTTCTGTCCAACTTTTGAAGCTGATATGATTCCTACATGTTTCAGAGCAGTAGACAAAGCATAACCTCTATTCCAGTACTCTGCAAGCTCACACACACACACACACACACAC